TTTTTTTTTTTTTTTTTTTTTTTTTTTTTTTTTTTTTTTTTTTTTTTTTTTTTTTTTTTTTTGACAAAATGGAAAGTTGAATGTATTTTTATTAATTTAACCCAAAAAAAAAACTATCTTGGTTAATCTTTTATTATTATTATTTATTTTATTTTTTTGTGACTATATCTCTCCTGTATCTTAGCAATCTTAATGAGTCCTCGAGTTCCAATGTCAATACATGTCTTCTAGCTTTCGCAAGTTTTTGAAGCAGATGAGAAGGGTTAGTTGAAATAAATATAAAATCATCCAATCAAAGTTTAAAAAATAAAAAAGAAAAAACCATAAGTTTTGATTTTTAATACAAGGTATATATTTTGGTGACTCAATCTAATGAAAAAATTTATTTAGTTTATAGTATAAGGTATTTACACGACAAATATTAGCTATTACAAGATTTTGCATAGAACACTGTAACGAGTCTTAATGAGAAATTTAATATCCAATTTTTCTTTTAACATTTGTACTTCGAAATTTTATTGAGAATTTTAAAGGTCGAATTTTAGTATATATTTAGGTAACTTTGAGTGTGATTATTTCTTTTTTACCATTAATTACAAGAAAAATATCTTTGGACAATTAGATTAGAGCTCTATAAGTCACTACACGGAATTTAGGAAGAGATACTTTAGGAATCGCTTTGGTATGCACGCATGCTAGGTTAATTTCCTTAGTTGATTAGATTTTTCCATGTTATGAGCTTAGGTTGCAAAGTACATGTTCGATGATAAGTTAAACATGTTTTATGCTTCCACTTAGTGTGTAATTGTTTATGCATCCTGAAAAAAGGATGGAAAAATTGTGAACTCTGTGTTCCGGGTGGTGATGGATGGTATTGCCTCGTTCAACATGATTGCCTATTTGTGCATAAACTGTGTATAATGTATCTAATTCTTGATGCTTTCTCCCTCTTGATGATGTTTAGTATACGTTATAAAAATAAGCCTAGAGATTCATGATTAGAGTGACGAGTCACTAAGCCTAGATCAATCCCTCTCCTACTAGCTTAGCAAATCATCACGGCAAACGTAGTACCTTAGGGATGTTCTTAGGCTGCTAGTTGTCTGAACGGTACCTATAGCTTCGTGGGAGGACCAGGGGTCCTGATCAGTTCTTACTGCTGCTAGTCGTTTCGCATGGAAAAAGGTGTCCCCACGTCGTATAGCCCATTAGCTACATGGGAACGGGTTGGATCGCGCCCCCCAGGGGGATTATTATGGGCTTAAGAGGTATTCAACACACCCTTAGGCAAGATACCATGTAGTCTCAGTTAGCCATGTAAAGGTAGCGCCTCGTAGAGAGATACCAGTCAGTCCAGCTTAGCATAAGAAACTCTTAGGTACTAAATGAGAGGACGGAGAACAATAGAAGTCCCAAGGGGCAACCCCCAAGGGTCTAAGATTAGAACCAGGCATCCTAGAGCCAATGAGAAACCCGTGTTTGATTGTTAAGCTTATGATGCGATGAGAGCCTACAAGTAGGTGGCTTACTGGGTATAATTTTATACTCATTCCTACTATATCTTTTTTTTTTTTTTTCAGGTACGTGACGCGTTGGATCGAGGTAGGGCGTGATTTGAGGGGCGGATTGTCACAGAGGAATGCATGTCCCGGGGCGTCAGTCTAGTCTTTTCCTTTATATTTAGATTTTCATATTTTTGTTCTTAGAACTTTCATTTGTTTGAATCTTTGTATTGCAACTTTCTTTATTTGAAATAAATGATTTTGCCTTTATACATTTTCAATTGTTTTCTTTGCATCCACATTGTCGTTTTGAGTCACGACTCATAATAAGATATTGGGTCGTGACAGGTGGAAATCTAAGTACATGGACATTCAAGATGCTTCATGTATCATGGACGCTTGGGAGAGTTTAGAACAAGAACTTCGCTCACCGTTCTTTCCAGAGAATGTCAAGATAATAGCAAGAAGGAAGTTAAGGGAGCTGAGGTATACTGAGAATATCTGAGACTACGTCAAACGGTTTTCTTGAATTATATTGGATATTCGTGACATGTTCGAGAAAGAAAAGGTCTTATGTTTTGTTAAAGAGTTGAAATCATGGACTAACGCCAAGTTTTATAAAGAAAGGGTTAAAGACATTTCCAGGACCTATACTACAACCATACGACTATTTGACCTTAGTAATGATCAATCCCAAGATGAAAGGGGCCCCATCAAGAATTGAATACCTATAGAAGGCCGCACTATATACATTTTAAGCAAAACTTGAGTAAACTCAGAAGCTGAGTATAAGCCGACAGAAACTGAAATACCGTTAGTTAAGAACGTTGAACAACCATGCGAGCTCATTAAAGTACTTGTGAATATTAATGAAAATCGGACTTTTCATATATTCTCTCTTATTTCTAGATTTAGCTCCTATTTAAACCTCGTGAACATTAATGAAAATCGGACTTTTAATTCCACTTTTGTTTCTCGTTCTTAACATGGTATCAGAGCAGGAGAGGAGGAAGAATAGAAGAAAAGTGACAGAGGAGGACGGATGAATTGGGATCACCTTCCACCAGATATATCATCCTTTTACGTCCACATCTCAAAAGTTTTAATTTCTGGTCTCTATAGCAATTGTCCATGATTGATCACGACAAATCATCAATATTTTTTCTTTCAACAATGAGATCAAGAACCTTATGCTTAGAGTAGTTCATGCCCATAAACCGATTCTTAAATATCAAAATTTGCTTTTCAACTAAGTACAGCTTCAAAATTCCAAAAGTTGATTTAACACATCATTAAATGGGACATATAAGCAACGTTGGTTGCAGTAAATCATTTATGCATGAACCAAGAAAGAGCTTTTCGAATTCCGAGATACATCAAAGGTTGTTCATTTCTGTGTTTTGCATATTTTTCGAAAATTCAATAATTTCTAGGAAGTCTAAAACACAAACCAATGTGTCCAGATTATCTCGATTTTGCATCCTACTAGTAAATTCAATTATTTCTTGGAAGTCTAAAAACCAATGTTTCGAGTTTTGCATCTTCCTATGAAATTCATTTATTTATTGGAAGTCTTAAAAGCAAATCAATGTGTCCATATCATTAGAAGTTAAGTATCGAAAAATTGATGGATGTTTTCACTAAAGCTTTGGAAGATAGCAATTTGATTTTCTGAAAGACAAGTTCGATGTGATTGACATACA